TTCATTGAACCACAATACCGATAAGTGATTAATAAAAGTCAAAAGACCAAAGAGGTCACCTTAATACCAAAAAAAATTAGTAACTAAACTTATATTAACTTATAAGTTACAAATTAAACTCTAAAAAATATTCAAATTATTTAAATAATAATATTTGTTATTTAAGTTACAATAATTATTTTATTGAAAATTTGTATTATAAAAAAAAAACTTTAAATAACAAGTTATATAAAGTAAATAAAATTCAGATTATATAAAAACAAGTATTATTTTTAAACTATATTTCAAATAAATTTAGTTAGAAAATTAAATTATATTTAATATTTTTAAAATAAAATAATAATTTATTAATAATATGAGATATATTTTGCTTATGAAATATATTCATAAAAACATATTTTATAAATTTTATTATAAAAAAAATTTATATATAGGGTGTAGTGATCTAGTAAAGTAGTCAGGTTGTCAACTTATCAAGTGATAGATTGGGTGTTCAAATCTTATTAATAGCAAAAATTTGAATAATTACCAATGTAATATTTGTATTATAGTAACTGTTACTAATGATTGGGTTAGAATACCTGTAATGGCAATTGCATTAGCATGACTGGCAAGTTATAGAGCATCTATATAACTTATTATATAAAAAAATGCAAACTGCCAAATCAGATGGTACAAATACTAGATAAGTCCTTGTAGTCATATAAATCTATTAAAATTAGATAATAGGAAATCTATTTAAGAAGATCTAAATAAAAAGATAATCAAATCTTTAATAACTTTACTGTAAAGGCTAATCTAAAAAAATGAATATCAAGGTTATAATATTCATTATAGTAATCAGACAGATAAGAACCTTTGAGTTGAAAGTCTTAAAGGTATTATCAATTAAGCTATTAGAACAAACTAAAGAAAAAGAATATTGGATTAACCTAATATACTAATAGACTGATTGTAGTTCTATATAGACTATCTGAATTAGAAATTTAGTAAAAAGGCTGAACAAAAAGCAGAAATATACTAAAGTATCAAGGTTATATTATAAAGTAGATTTTAGAATCTGTATGAACTCTATAAAGGCATAGCAGTTAAATAATATAACTCTAATTACAAGTGTTAATTCTGTTATAATAATATCTAGATTAGCTATAAAAATAAATACAGAAAGCTCTAGAGAGTTTACCTTAAGAATAAATTAGTTCTAAGGTTAAAATAATGATCTGAGTATCTGAATATAACTCAGTGAATTAATATAAGTTACAGGTTTAAAGAATTTAAAATAAAACATCCAAACAGAGATGTTAAATATGGCAATTGGTAGTAAACTTTTGGGTAGACTTCTTAAATAGGTAATATAAAAAGTTATATATGTATCTAATTGTACTTTTTTTTGTAGTAGTTCATAGAATTACATTACCAATAAGTCATTAATAAAAGTCAAAAAACCAAAAAGATTACTTTAACACCAAAAAAAATAAAAAAATAAAATTTATACTTTATACAAGTCTAAATTTTTATAAGTAAATTACAAAAGAGTTACTAATAAAAATTGTTATTCTTTATATAAATTAAAATATTGTATTAAGAACTATAGGCTTAAAATTAATATTTAAAGAGTTCATTAATAATTTGTAAATAATTTTTTTGATTAAAAATTTTTTCTAAATTTGTCTATTTTTAGTTTATTTTATTTTTTTATAAAAATATTAAGGTAAGTACTTGTAATCCAGATTTTTATTAATAGTATATTTGGCTAATGATTGTATAACAATCATAGAAGATAATTATAAAAAGAGTGTACAACTAGCTATTCATATAACTTTAGTCATTGTCTAATTTAAGTAGTCTGTCTAAAGGTCTACACTAGCTGTTATATCTGAAACCTACTTATAAGTTCTCGATTTAAACATATAGTTTTTGTATCTATTCATTTACTTCTGTCTACCAATGACTCTGCCTGATGCCAGTGAAAATATGTTATGATCACTAAGTCTGTAAGGCAGTTTATTCATATAAAGAACTTTTGATCTTATATGAAATCTTCTAGAATCTTCTGTATTTTATTTTTATAACTAACTTAATAATGCTATAGTCATGACCAACACTTGCAGTTAGAGCATATCATTAAACTGCTATGTTCTTGTAAACTTTACCTTAATCTTGGTACTAACTTTACAACATATCTCAATTACTTTGGTATTTAATTCAAGTTTTATCAAAATCTTAGATCAAATAGTTCAAAAAGATAAATCATAATCATATTTTTAATTTATATATTCTTTAGCATATAATCTTTTTCTCTAGAACAAATTCTAGTAGCCTGGCTAATTCTATTTAGCCTCTTTCTAAAGGCCAACTCTTTGCTTAGCTTTATAAGTTCTAGCTTTGTTTCATAGGTCTAGTCTTTATAGTAGCACTGTCAAAAGTTCAGATTATCTCTCTACTTGGATTTTTTAAGTAAACTTTTATCTTTCTGATTTTTATAATTTTACAGCTATTAAAACTTATCACAGGTTCACACTGCCTAATACCTATTTGTGTTTCTTTATACAAAGTACAATCATTGTATAAATGCTATATGACCTTTCAGTCAGACTAGTATAACACAGATAATAAGTATCTGATTCTAATCAATAGTAAAAAACAGTTAACTATAATACAGAAAAAATTTCAAATTTTTGCTAACATTAAGATTTGAACTCTAGATCTGCTACTTGAAGGTTGACAATCTGACTACTTTACTAGGTCATTACATTTTCTATTTTTAGTTTATAAACAAATTTTTTTTTTATAATATAAAATTAAATACTGCTATAATATAATTCTTATTTTTATTTTTATTTTTATTTTTTTTTTTGCTTTCACTAAGGTCATAGTTAATAACAGTTATTGCTTTTATTATATTTTTAATTATGATTATATAACTTATACAAGGTGAGTATACAACTAGCTACATATACAACTTTTGGTTGTCTATTTTAAGTAGTCTGCATGCATAGCAAATTCTACATTAGCTGTTATACTTGCAATCTACTAGAAAATTATTTATTTAAATACTCTGATTCTTCTACTTATACTAACATATAGCACACAAGTTCCTATACACCTAAGTGCTGTTTAACCTAACTTTGACCTCCCTTTCTGTATATTTGTCAAGCTGTTACACATTTTAGAATATGTCATTTAACTGTAAGGCTTCAGAAGGCCTCTTTGCTAACTAACTACCTATATTTAATCTTTGTTAACAAAGCTCATCTTTGTAAAGTTTACTTAGATTCTAGCACTAATTTTACAGCATATTTTTAGCAATATTGTCATGTTTACTATGTTCAAAATTTTTTTGACCATGTCCAATATCCAAACATCCAAATATTCAAAAATGTTCACAGAATATACAAGCTTTAAAAATTAATATATTAATTTAAAAAATATATAATTATATATTTTTTTATAATGCTAAATATTTTTATTTAGAAAGTTAAAATAGGTTAACTTAATAAAATTTTGAGCAAATTTAATTTATTTATTTGTTTAAAATATTCAAAAGTATCCAAACTTATGTCTACAACTGTTCTGTAACAATACTGTCTTTAGTACTTATAGTATACCTCTGCTTCTAACCTTAGACTTTCAATTTAGATAGTCTAAAAGAACTATAACCTGTTATTGGTATTCTAAGATCTGCCTCTTAAAGTTTTTTTTCTTCAGTTTAAGACTTCTAGTAGCCTGGTTGGCAGTACTCTTATCTGAAATTCTTGTTTGTCTAATTCCTTTTATATTAGTATCTGTTTCTTAGGTCTAGCCTTTACAATAGTACTGTTGAAGATTTGTATTACCTTTTTACTTAGTTCTTTTCAAGTAAATTTCAGCTTTTTAGTTCTACAGATTTATACAGCTACAAGAACTTCTCTTGAGTTTGTACTGTCCATTGCTAGCTTGCATTTTTTTGTATAACTCCAATATTGCACAAATGCCTTATAACCTGCTAATTATACTGGTATAACTGTAATTACAGGTATCTTATTCTAACTAATTAACAGAATGCCATTACTATTGTTACAAAGTAGATTTTAGCATAGTATATTAGTTATTATATATTCATTATTTTATTTTATATTATATTTATTATTAGTTATTAGCATAGTTATTTTATAGTGAAATTTTCTTAAAATCATCTTGGCTGATTTGTTTAAACAACATCCTATACTATTAGCATGTAATTTATTGTTGTACATACTAATACATGATTTTCACATTTTACTTAATTTTACTTCATGCAAAAAGTAAATAAATACACATAGTGTGATTATAGAGTGATCGATCTTCTCTTTGTTTGTAAATAGTTTTCTTTATTTGTAAAGCAGTTTCCTAATAAAGGTTGGCTCATATTTGTTTCGTGAAAAGTAGAAAAGAATTAGACATATCATAAAAAAGTATAACTGGAGCAAAAATTCATACTTACAGTCTGATATATAGTAAAACAACATCTTTGGCTATAATATTTATGTTTCACACACCTAACTTATTATTGCTAGAAATTTTTTGAATTTATGCCCTATTTATACAGTTCAAGCATTATTACTACATAATACTGTATTCAATATAACTTAAACAAAAGTTTATTCTTATGGCCAGATATATAATAAGATGGCATTTTTGACTATAGTATTTTATATTTTATACACCTAACTGATTATTGTTAAAATTTTTAGATTCTCTAACCTCACTATACAGCTCAAGTGTTATTACATTCAACAATGAATCAGTCTGATATAGGCGATAAGATAGTTATGATGATGATGTTCAAGAAAGTGATTTAAGTTATGTTGGAATAGCTAAAAGAAGGCTGCTTGAAATATTCACAATACCTAATACTGCTTTTGAAAAGGCCTTAGGGTTATGTGTTGAAATAAAATTTGCTCATTGGAACCATGCATATTTGGTATTGTTGGCATATAGACAGTGCACTGGTTTTGTATAGCAGATTCAAGAAAAAAAGTTAAATAAAAATGATAGTGTCTACAAGTATGTATTTGTATGCTGACATGCTGAAAAGTTTTATTCAAACAAAACAGCTACCGATCCTTTACAATAATGTAACAGAGAATCAATCAAGACAAATTGCACTTGTTATATTAACATGTACTGGCCACTTAAATTATCAAATCTGGCTATTACTAAGATGAATCTTGAACATCACAGTCATGTACTTAGTCCTAAAACAATTTACTTTGCTAATGTATATTGACAGTTTTTTCAGAATATAATGGATAAAATTTAGTTCTATATAAATATAATTCATAATATTTCAGTATACGTTAAGATAGCTTCTTAGTATAGAATTCAAAGATCAGTTGTTTTTGGATAAAGATTTGACAAATGAGATCCAACAGTTTCAAAGAGGTGATATTACTGATTCTGAATAGGATCCTGAAAAAGATGCATCAAATCTTCTTAAAGAGTTACAAAAAATAAAAGAAAATGATCCAACATGGTTTATAGTTTATAATTGTGTCAAAAACTATCTTTTTCATTTATTTTGAATGACACCTTATCAACAAAATCTGTATTTAAAATACCATAATGTTATTTTAACTAATAATATGACATGAACTAACAAATATCACATGGCTATATGCTTATTTGTTGGTATTAATCAACATTGTTATTTAAGATTAGTAGCTCAAACTCTAATGTTTGATGAAACAACTTTGTCATATATATGGGTTTTCAAAAATCTTCTATTAGCTACAAATAATTTATCACCTACAACAATTTATTCTGACTGTGATACTGGACTGGGTCTAGCAATTGAATCTACTCTTCTGACTTCTAAATACTTACATTGTATTTTTTATATGATTTAAAATGTTAAAAAACATTTGATGTATCCACTTGGCTCTCAATTCTCTATATTTTAGAATAATTTTTTTGCTTGTCACAATACTCTATTCAAAGAAATTTTTGAATTATGATTTAATTCATTATGCATAAAATTTCCAAAAGCCTCATTATATTTAAAAAGTACTTTATACCCAATTAAAGAAAAATGGGCTAAGTGTTATACTTTTTAGATAATTAAGATTATAACTTAAGGATCTGAATCAGTTTAATTAACTAAAAAATACATATAATAAACTATTATGTTTAGTTAACTAGTTGACTAAATATAGTAGTTGACTAAACTGATTTCAATCCCTAACTATAATTGTTAAAACTAAGTTGTTTTTTTTTTAGAAGTTTAATGCTGAAATGTTCTCAACTCAACAAGTTAAGTTTATCAATGCTGTTATACATAAACATGTTAACTCACATTCAACATTAATGGAATGCTTTAACAGAATACAAAATATGTTATTCATTGAACTTCAAAAAGCAGAATATCAGGACTATTTGGAAAATTTATCTTTTACTATTGGGTCTTCATTGGCAACTTGCATTTTTCCAGATATAGTCGAGCTTTTGAAGTCTACTTTAACGAATGAGGTTTTTAGGATTTAAAAAGCTCAAATTGATATATGCTTTAAATATTGTTTGAGACTAGTTCCTTCTAATCAATATGAAACTTGTGATGAGATAAGTTAAGATTGGTTATTTAATATAAATAGATGATTTTTTGCTATATTACTAATATTTAAACTTTTAATGATTAATGATTCTGATATTTCGAATTGACTTGAAGATTTTACTGACAAGCACCAAATTGCACTTAATTCAATCATTAATCATGTTAGTCTTATTAATATTCTTGAAATTTGAAAAGTCAAAAACATGACAGCTAATACAACATCACTTAACTATGTGGCATTACTTTAAGACAATTCGCATGTTTGCATATGCTTACTTTTAATTAGTAATAGGCTAGTTTGCTATTACTTCTTTCAAGTAATGCTGCAAATGAAGACTGCAAAATTTAGTATTTTTCTGATAAAAAGTTGATGGTACAAAAGGAACATTGATATAAATGAGATTAATATTGCTTATGATTCTTTTGAAATTCATAATAATGTTACTAATGCAAGTACTAAATCTTTGGCTTTAACTTCTATATGCAACATTTAGAATTTAAACCAAGATTATACAAATTCTGATATTGAAAATTCAATTATAATGTGGCAAATTTATAATGAATGTGCAGCTTTGAATCATAAATTAGCATTACTAGTGGCTGAATTTCATTTAACACATATTGTGGCTACTTTACAGGGTTTGATTCAGCAAGTGAAATAAGCAAACACAAATACTGCAAATAGTCAAAATCAGAGTCAAATTCTTAATTCTCTACAAGCTAGCACAAAAGAAAAACCTACTAAATGATTGAAAGCATGCATAGAAAATAGTTCAAAAAGTTCCAAAAATAAGACAAGTGTTAATATTTATTCTGGAAATGGATATATATGTCATAATTGTTTTAAGGAGAGTCATAATTCAAGAAGCTGCAATGTTTAATGCAAACTTTGTAAAGAAGCTAGTCACACCTATTTACATTATAAGGATATGGAAGATGTTTAGGTTTCTTGCTAGGTTTATTGCAATTGTATAGTGATAATTGATTGTTGATTATTCAATTCATTTAATTTTCATGCATTGTTTTACTTCATTTATCATAACTTGTAATTACTAAAGAATTTCTTTTAGAATTAGAGTTAGAAAGAGTACTAACATAATGTAGTTCTTTTTCATATTAGGCTTGGAACAAATTATAGATTAATTTTATTTTTCTTACAAATATTGCATTAAGAAAGATATTAGTAAACTAGTTGTATAACCATTCTAGTGTATTTGGGAAGTATAATTCTATATTCATTATGTTACTTTTAGTTTTTAAGATTGTTATAGTACATAAATATAACCAAAAATTTTCCAAATATGTACATTGTAAGTAAAAATGGAATTTAACTAGATTCAGAATTTTTATATAAAACCATCATTTTAGAGTTGATTTTATCATATGTATACCTATACCCTAACTAAAAAATTTCAAATTCACTTAAATTCCATTTCGTATAAAAGTTATCAATTATGATCTTAATATACCCATGTTGATTGGACTAGTTTGGATTGGTAGTAATACTATATTTGGCTGATTTGCCTTTATCGTTATCATTTTATTTACAATACTTAATTAATCAAAGCTGGTTTTTTTTTTAGTTTACATTACAGTCTCTGCAGAGTAACATTTTCATGATAGGCACATATTTAATTATATATGTATGTACATATATATGTATATATATATGTTTGTACTTGGTACAATTATATAAGTTGCATATGTATATTAAAGCTGTATTGCAGATAGTATATTTAAACTTGTTTAATATATTGAATATGATTATATGTATATATATTTAAGCTATAATATAGATGTAATATTTAGTTAAAATTAATTTATACAGTATTTATTTTGTTTTTAATAATTTATATAATAGGCTGGTATTTAATAAAATCAGTCAGGCTGGTAGTTAGAAAATCTCTTTTATAGTATATAGTAGTTAGATAATAGGATTTTAATTGGCTGTTAGAAGTATGATACAGATATATAACATTAAGTAACATCTATGATGTTACTATTGTCTTACAAACTCCAAGTACCTTTATATAAGTTTTATGTATCCTAATCTAATTTACTGTGCCAAATAACATAGTACAAGAATCTCAAGTATCCTTTTTACAATCTTCAAATATTTCTGCACAATCCCAAATATTCCAATACAATCTTCAGATGTCTTTGCACAATCCTAAGTATCTCTGTACAGACTCAAGTATCTTGATACAAGCTTCAAGTGTTTCAAGTATAAATAACAAATACATATAAACATTGTTTTAACTATTTTTATACAAACTCTACTTGCCTTTGTACAATCTCTACTATCCTAAGTACAGTATCAAAAGATGTCACTCAAACTTCTACTACTCCCACTAGGTAAAAAGATATATAAAGAGTATCTTTTCCTCTTTCTTGCCAATTCTAAGTTTCTATACTTCAACTCAAACATAATAATCTTTTAATTATAAAATGTAATATTTCTTCTCTAGGATAATTCCTATAGGTAAGATTGTCATCATGTGTGTTATTAATAAAAAGTTAATCTATATACTGTTATTATTTCGAACTGTTTGTCTGCTGCTATGTAGTAAAGTGAACTACTACACCTTTACCATATATATATTTGCAATAGTCAATCACTGTACTGGATGACCTTGTTACTTGGTTGTATTATATTAAGAAGGTTGCAATTCTGTAACATTTTGGTATTTTCTGACAAAAAGTAAAAATTTATTTCAGGAAAGAAATAGAAACCTCTCTTAAAGAACCTATTTTCAAAAAGCAATTTTCTCTTTATGAAAGATTTATTTTGAAGCAGCAATTGTGAAAAAACATTTTGAAATTTTGGAATTATTATTTTAGATATACCTCTATTAACTTAACTTGAATTAATTATTTTGTATTTTGTATTTTATATTTTTGAAATTTTGAAATTATAAAAAAGTTTATGCTTTTACCTTCTAGCTTTGATTTTTGATTTTTAAATTTTTGAATTTTTGATTTTTGATTTTTGATATCACTTATTGGCCACACATACACATACACATATATACATATTTTAAAATTATTGAATTTTTAAGTTAACTTCTTTGATTGTTTTATCTTACTAATATCATATTTTAAATTTATTATTTTCTATTTTTATTATTTTATTATTTTATTATTTTATTGCTTATTAGTACTAATCATTCTTAAGAAAACTTATTCTCTAATGGAATACTAAAAATTATTAATAAAGAACAAATCTGTAAACAAAAATACTAAAATTTCTAAAAAAAAAAAAGAAACTACAAAAATAATTTTTGGAAGGTTTTCATTTTTCATCCATATTTTTATGAGTTTTAAATATAGAAAGATGAAACATATATCATTCTACTTGCAGAAATCTTCTCTACATTTCTTATTATATTATATCTTAGTAAGAAAATGCTTAT